CATATAAGTTAAAACACTAATTTAACTCTTGCTTAGGCCATGAAATGACTATAGATTCAGATCAAAACAGCAAGATCTCTTCTGCTTTACAACTCATTACAATAAAAAATATTATCAAGCCTTTAAAAATTTACTCAGTATTTTTTTTTTCTTTCCTTTGTCTTTACATGTATCACTGGAAATTAGGAAAAACTATTACATTCTGGAATCTCACAAAGATAGTGAATGTGGTAATCCATAAATCTCCAAATTAATATATCTCAAGAATTCTCATTTACTCAGGAATTTCACAACACAGGAAACTTTTACACAGATTTGATAAGAATTTTAGGTGAAACTTCCTCTTAAAAGCAAATAAAACTTGGAAGTTTATTCTAACCTATTCATTCTCCCCTATTATTATTATTATTTTGGGAGGAGTGACAGTTCTTGATCTAACATTTCTGGATTATAAGAGAAATTGCTTTTTTTTCCCAACAGTATAGCTGATACAATTTGTTTACCAGATTACACCATATAAAAAAATCTCAGAAATATAACTATACCATAAACAATTATCAGGTATTTAAAACTTGAAATGGAACCAATTAATTACCTGCTTACAACCAAATATACCTCATTAAATATTAACAGTTTTCAAATTATCCAATTTTATCACATCCTTTTAAAAGACCAAACCATATGTACCATTTCTACCTCACAATGATTTCTCAAATTTTACAATCTAAGAAAGTTTTAGAAATACAATACAATTTAGAAACATACTAACAACACAAACAATAAACTTCAGATGACATCAGTTTCATTTCCAGATTATCACATATAGAAATTATTGATCTTATTACTCATGGTATTTAAAAACCACTTCAAAGTTATCAGGTATGGAACAATTATATTAAATTAGAGAGATAATAATAATGTTGTCTAACATATGTCATTGTGTTACGCACTTTGCAATCATTATATCGTTTTGATCCCATAACAACAACCATTATTATTTTTCCTTTTACAAATCAGGAATCAGGGCAGAGATAAAATAACTTGCCATAAATTCTGAAACTGGAACAGAGAATTATGGGGCTTACCAAGAGTAGAAGTTGGCTTCTCACCTCATAATGCTATTGCCAGGCCTTCCAGGGGTTTGCGTGGCTGATGCCAGGGCTTTGCCAGTGGTGATAATTCTTGTTGGCAGGGCATATGGAATCTTATCATAGTTCTGACCTGTCCACTTCTCTCCTTCCCATAGCTTGCATAATTTACTGAGGCTGGGGCCGTTTGCAGCTGCTGGGGCAGGCTGGGCAGAATGTACTGAACCTGGATGTTAGTCCCAGGTCTTGCCTAGAAGGGTGGGCTGCAAGATGCCCAGGGGCATAGGGCTGATAGCAGACCATCACTGCTAGTCTGTGTTAGCTGCCCCTCTCCTCCTTTTGCCAGATAGGGAAGGCTGATTTAAGTTTTCCCTACAATTCTCCAGCATTCTCTTCTCTTTTTCAGTCCCCTTATTGAGATGCTTATCTCTGAGGGGGGAGTGGGAAATGCTGAGGAATCAGGATTGGAAGGAGGTGTTTTAGCAGAGGGTGAGCTCCTGGAATCACCCCCAGTCTCAGAAGTTTTCTCCAACAGTCCCAAAATGAACAACTTCCTAATTTCTTAATGATTAATCTCAAAACCTTTAGAATCTGCTAAAAAGTCTTTAGCTGTATCTAACTTTTCACTGTAGATCTAGGCTGGCCAGGCCTGGACCCACAAGAAAGGAGTTTTACAATTTGTTGTTTCCCTAGCTGCAGCCCTTAGAAGTCTTTGGCTGCATTTAAAATCTTATAAGGTACATACACAGAGACACAAACCGACAGACAAATTGACAGGACAAATACAATACAAACATAATGACATAGTGTGCACTTAATGACAGAGAGAGAGGGAATTAGAGGCTTGTTAGAAAGCCCCCCCACACGAATTGGCTATTATTATTATTATTCTGAGGAAAAGGAGTTGGAGAATTTGCAAGGATCCAAGACCTGATAGTGTAACTGGATCCTGTGAGCCTTCCTCAGAGTGCCCCTGAGATTGCAGATTTAAAGGGGCAAGTCCCAATAAAGTTAAGTTTGGGAATCTGAGTCCCTGTCAGGACCATAGCCTTTAAGGGAAAGGGGAGGGAGATTATTCGGAGCCTGGGAAAGAGTGCTGAAGTGGCCTTGAGAGCATTAAGGGAAGAGGCTTCTGCCTTTCCTTCTCCCCCAGCCACCTCAGCAACCCAACGGTGAAAACATTCCCACTCTTGGCTAGATGTTTTGGTAGCCTTTAAACTTGATTTGGTTTTAAGATAAAGTAACTTTGACCAGTCAAAAGAACCCCATATTGTGACCAACATGATTTCGGGTTGTCTTTAGTTAATTGGTATCAGTGCGAGCGGTACTTGCGATCACCAGATTGTCAATGGCTTGACATATAAGAGGCGGCGGTCTTGTTAGCCGGATTTCTAGTTTTAGTTTCTGACTGACCCATAGCCAATTTGCCTAGATCGATCGTTACCAAAGGGGACCTGATACAGTAGCCAGAGTTTCTGAACTTTGACTGGATCCCCGACCCCAGAGATAACTTAAAGGGAATTTTCTTTTGGACTTCCACCAAACTAGTGGGAGGTCCATGGAAGCTGGGAATAGGAGAAACTTACCCGACCCTGTGAAGGTTAGGACTCCAGGAAAAAACGGATCCTGAGGTGCCTGAGCCACTAAAGCATTGCTGGGGTGGGCTGGAGTTTTCTCCCATTCCTTCAGTTCCAATCTGAGTCACGGCACCATTACCGTTAACCTGAAAGTTTGGTTAAAGAAGGCAAACAAGTTAGGTGACACATGATTATATAGTTTACTCCCTTTTAGCTAACGAATCATGTTAACATGGAAGCCAGAATATGATTCTGACTCGGAGATTAAGCAAAATGAGAGGGGTTTTATACAGTTTAGAGTGATCAGACTCAGGATGTCTGTGTTACAAAAAAAGGTATAGCCTCCGTATGTTTCCTAACATACAACATTAAAAAAAGGAAGTTACCTAATTGCATAGATTGTAAATATAATAGAAGAATGTCAAAGTATCAATCAAAATTATAGATCCGGGATATGTGTTTCCTCTACATAACATATGTCTATAGGATACAAAACAAGGAAAAGTCTAGTTAATCAAGAGAGTGTTCGGTCCCAGACATCCTGGGCTGAGTGATGACGAACAGGAAGAATGTTGGTGAGCTCCATCTGGTCCTGAAATTTGCTGACACAGGAAGGGGTGTTTTTAGTTCACTCAAAGAGAAAAAGATTAATTCAGGTTTTTGGCCCCTATTGGGGCTCAATTGATCTCAAATGATTATCAGTACCCATTAGTCATAAAGATGCATTCCAAAAAGGAAAACTCTCTTTCTTACCCATTCAACCTTGTCATATTCTGGATATCAGATGTTCCTCATCTACTTAGCTTTTAATTCATGGAAAGTTAAGCTAACCTGTTCTGCCTGGCTACAGACCTCTTTCACAAGCCTGTGAAATATCCTTCAGCTTGATGCAACCAGGGTATGCCACCAATGAACAGAAGCCTGGAATGTCATGGGACTAGCTCAGCTCACCACAAGAACAAGGATCCTATACTAACTCTGAAGGGATAAGACCAGCTTAACCTTCTATCTCGAATGTGCATTGATGAGGCAGGAGACAAGATGGAAGCAACTCCGTTTAATTTTAACAAAGCATTCACTTAAGTAGTAAAGTAATAGGAGCTTCTTCTCAAGTTACGATGATGTAGAGTTCATGCTGTGCTAAGGACAGTGCATGCACATCATGCGCACTTATCTGACTCCAATCCCACATAAACTGCTAATGACCATACAATAACTAAGGAAGTTAAAGATTGTTAAAGATCTGTACAATGGAGCACTAAACCAGGCGACCTTTGCTCATAGATCAGTCACCCGAGAGGGGCCTCTGCCCTTCAGTGAGACCTCTTGAACAGCCTGTGGCCCTCTACATCCTTACAGATCCCCAATGCTGGAACAGGAGAGTTATTTAATAAATGCTTCCTGAAATTCAGTAAACCAGTAAACCTTGTTACTTATTACTGACTGGGCAATTTCCATGTTATAATCATGTGAGATTCATTAAAGTTCCCCAGTCCTTTAGGGATATGGACCCATGGGGACTGAGAAAACCATAAAGTCTCACTTTAGGCACTGATAACATGAACAAGCCATAGAAGATTCTTCCTTCCAGATAAGCAGGTAACATTATTCTTTGTGATCTCCTCATTATAGTAGGTATCAAAAATATAGAGTCTAAAGAGTAAGTAGATACATGGAGCCTCCCTGGGTGTCATACAACTAATAACTGCAAGAGGGAAAGACCGCAATAGGACGTGGTCCTTTATCTTCAATAGTTTGGGACTCTCTTGAAAATGAAATTCCATTTCTTGTCATTGGCCATCATATTATAAATGACAGTCACAGACAATGGCCCCAAAACTGGGAGGTTATACAACCATTAACAGTTACTTGGAAAAGTGGAGAATCTGTTTTCAACCCATCCCTTCTTAGTGTCAAAGACAATTTAATACCTGTTTCACCAAAGCTTTTTCATAAGGTGTTCTTATATGCTCTACTGTCCTTCAGGATTTCATTATATTTCCTTGACTCACTGATTAGTTAAACTATTTTAAAACATTCTCAAGATATTATCTTACCCCTTCATTTGGGGATGAATAGATACATAATCCACTCTTTATTTTGTATATAAAGCTACATTCATTTTCACCTTAGTGACAGGATGTTGAAATGTTATGATATTATATGAAATCATATGATATGATTGCACATAAATTAATAAAATTAAATTGTAAATGGATGGGAAAGTTCCTTATAATCTTATCTAAAACATTTCTGCAAAATAAATGCCTAATTATGGATTCAAAAAGTACTCAAAGGAGGTTTATTTCTTTTATTCTCAAATTATGTTCCTTTGATGAAAGAAATGATTAATTCGAATGAAACCTCACAGAGCCAGGTGAGTGAATTCATTCTCATGGGCATCACAAATCGTCCTGAGCTTCAGGGTTTCCTTTTTGTTGTGTTTCTTCTCAACTACATGGCCACAGCTCTTGGGAACCTGGGCCTGATCATCCTAACCAGTGTGGATCCCCACCTCCAAACCCCCATGTACTTTTTTCTCAGGCATCTGGCATTTGTTGATTTTGGCTCTTCCATGGCTATTGGGCCAAAAATGCTGGTTAATTTCATAGAGGAGAAAAATATCATTTCCTATCATGGATGTGCAGTACAGTTATTTTTTGTTGGGATATTTTTTGACAGTGAACTTTTTATCCTCTCAACCATGGCCTATGATCGCTATGTGGCTATCTGTAAGCCTCTCCTCTATATGCTCATCATGTCAGACAGGGTATGTTGGCTCTTGGTGGCTATCTCATACCTCAATAGCATCATGGTATCCCTAGTAGTTGCAATAAAGCTTTTTAACTCATCTTTCTGTGTGTCAAATATAATAAGACATTTCTACTGTGACAGTCTCCCTCTATTATCCATTGCATGCTCAGACACAAGTGAGACTGAACTAATTATTATGATCTTTGCTTCAATTAATTTGGTTTCTTCCCTCATGATCGTCCTTGTCTCCTACATGCTCATTCTGGTGGCCGTCCTCAGGATGAACTCTGCTGAGGGAAGGCACAAAGCCTTCTCCACCTGTGGCTCTCACCTCACAGTGGTGGTAGTATTCTATGGGACGCTTCTCTTCATGTACCTCCAACCTCAGTCTAGTCATTCCTTTGACACAGACAAATTAGCCTCTGTGTTTTACACTCTGGTCATCCCTATGCTCAACCCTTTGATCTACAGCTTGAGGAATAAAGAGGTGAAAGGCGCCTTGGGGAGACTCTTTAAAAAAGTTATGTAAGCATCCCCTTTAACGACCAAAGTTTTTTTTTCTTCCTATTGTATTACTAGAAGTTTCTGCTAGATTTCTTTGTCAACTTCTCCCCAATTTTCTTCTCTTCATTTACAGAAAAAATTCTCTTAATATAAAATGAAAGGATGATATGTGTTTGTTTGTGAACCATCAGTAAATCTTAGTTCAGTGAATTATTTCATTGAAGGGAACTATTAGAGAATTTAGCACAAAATATCCTTATAAAACAAAACTATGTTATCATCTACTACACTAGTATATATCATAACTTTATTAGAGTTTACTCCTGTGTGAATGTCAATTCAAAAGCACTTAGAAAATGGATGTGCCGGGTACAGGCATTGGGCATATGGAGATAAATGAAAACAAATAGTTCTTGCCATCAATGCACTTACATTTTATTAAGGAAAACAATATGTATATGAGATCAACACTGCCCACCACAACAGCCAATCTCCTTTTGAATAGATCTTATTGTTAATGTCTATACTTTTTATGCCCTCAATTCCTCATCCATGACTTCCTTTCTCTATGAAGCAGAACAAGTTGCTCACATTTTAAAGTAATGATTATTCAAACTCTCAGAGAAAACTTCCATCACTTTCTCAGCCTGCAGGCCAAGATCTGTCTTTTTTTTTTTTTTTGCTATCATGGAAAAGAACATTGGGTTTTACGTGGTGTTCCAAAAATCTCAGAAAAAATTTTAGTTTTTAAAGCTTAAAATAAATTAAGATTTTCAGGCCATTCAGTACCATCATATGACATGGCTTTAAGTAACAGGTCTGTTACATGTGACTTGAATTATTATTGACCTAAAAGTTTATTGTCTCTGGCTTACATTCATGTATAAAGTGTGGGAGTTTAATGGCATAAATTTTAAGCAGTATTTCAGTTAAAAAGTATAAAGCCATGAAGCTATTCTTTTTGATAACAAGATACTGTTTACCACTCATCCTTACATCATGAGTTATTGTTTTTTGAATATTTTTGTCTCTTTTTTTCCTATTCATTTTGGAAATACCAATTTCTATTCTGAACATTGTCCCCTGAAATTGGACACAATGGTTCAAACGTGGTCTGGTTAAAGCAGAATGCAGCTGGCCTTTCGCAGCCTATGCCATTATGTCCTATCTGAATGAATATCCTATTACTTTCTTTAGGTAACGTATATTATATTTGACTCATATTCAAGTTGGACTACACTAAGAACACCAAATTTTCTTCAAAAGAATGCCTACAAAAACATCTTTCCTGCTATTCTTCTGTGAAGTTTTATTTAAAAACCTAATCAAATAAAAGCATTTAGGATTGTGCCATATGACTTCCTTTATTTTTTAAAGCTCATATTAATACATATTAACGTTTAGCAACTGCTAGGAGAAATTGCTAGCTTGCTTGCATGGAAACAGAAGGCTAGAAACAGAGACTCTGGGTATTTTAAAGAGCTGATTAAGTAAGAATATACCTTCTTGATAGACCTAAGGTTTTTAAATTTTCTCTCTCTGGTTCTTCTGAGTTCCACCCCAGACAGAGACATATGGTTCTATCATAGTCAGTATAATAGCCTTTCCTCAAATTTTCTTCAATGAGAAAGGACTTGGGGATTAGTTTTAATTTAGTATCTGTGTGTGGAAATTGAAATATCAGATTGAATATCGGAAGTTATGATGAAGGAAAGCACCATAAAATTGTCCAGTGATTTTGGTGAGAAATGAGTTTAAAATAAAATGCTGACTATTGTCTTTTTCTAAGCAGTGTGTTTCTTTTCCAGATTGATACAGCACATAAAAGTTACAGAGGAAGATCTCCCTTGATCAGTTAGGAAAATAAAATTATTACACTAATAGGCATTTCATTACTACAATATATGAAAATATATACTTTCCATAATAACCTTCATGGTTCTCCAGGTTTCTTAGTATTTCTATTGAAACAAAAGTCTTAACTGATAACTCTTTCCAAAAAGTGATCCATCCCAACCTGCCCTCGAGTCCTGTGGCTTAAAACAGCTTTGGAGAAAAACCTCCTCAATGGTGTCCTGACAGTGGTACAGTGGTCCTAGAGGAGGGTTTGTTTTGGTTTGCTGTCTTAATTCTATAAGCTTTCCTCTTAAAGCATTTCAGAGTTGTGAGGGTAATAGTAAAGTGCTCTCATTATACACATGTTAAGACAGGTCTGAGAATAAAAAATATATAAATAATACCTGACATTTGTAGGTAGAGTTACTAAATTTTAGTTCATTGAACATTCACAACAACTTTCTGATGAAGGTAAAATAGATATTTTAACCTCATTTTAGCAATGAAAAAATTGAATCTTAATGTATATTAAATAAAGTGTTGAAATCATCAAGCCTATACACATTTGGCATGAGGTAGGAATAAAGAATTCCAGATCATAAATTCAACATTCCACATGTTATCTCCTTTGATAGGTCGCTTTTAATTCAAAGAAATCTAGTTATTCTTTATAATCATCATCATGATCATAATCACACCATTATTTGTCAACATCAGGGCTCCTTCTCCACTTCTTTCACTTCCTATTCATGAATTTCACCACACCATCATCAAATACATGTTGCCTTAACAATTACTGTTATGCTCATCCCCTGGATCAGACACTATGATACATGCACAGAAATATGGAGGTCAGAGGTGTACCATATTTGAAGTATTTGTGAAAGACACAATGAAAATGAATGGGAATTGAATTGCTGCTGTGAAAGAGTAGGATCTAAATTTAGCCAAAGAGAAATCAGAAGTATACCTGTATTTGGAAGTCTACATTAAGTCAAGAACTGATCAATAAATATTTAATAAGCACCTAGTATGTGCCAAATGCTCAGCTAAACAATCTCTGTCCTCAAGCAGGTGACAATCTGATGGAGGAGACCATCTGGAAAATTAAACACAAAGCAAGCTACATATAAGCTAAATATGAAATAATTATCAGAGTGAAAACACTTGAATTAAAAGGGGTTAAGGAAGGATTTGTATAGAAGGTAGAATTTTAGCTGAAATTTAAAGGAAGTTGGTATGCAGAAAAGAAGAAGAATGTTCTAAGCAAGGGGGAATTGGTGAGAGAATGACCAGAGCTGAGAGATGGAGTGTCTTGTTTATAAATCAGCTAGTAGATCAGTGTCATTGGTTAAAGAGTGGGAAGAAACAGAGTTTAAACAGGCTGGACAAGAAGGACAGGGTTAGGCTATGAAGGACTTCAGAGTTTCTAGATTCAAAGTGTACTGACAAAAGGAAAGACCAGTTCCCGGAACTGATATTGAGACATAAAAATCAATTTAGTTAAATTTATGGAAAAATAACCTTTAAACATTTACTCTACACAAGAAACTGGGCTAAGCATTTGGGACACCAATAGAAATGGAAAACATACCATACTCTCAATGAGCTCATAACTTAATAGTTGGAGACAGTACATAGGTAGGTTTTCAGAGCTAAGTGAAATGGAGAGAGAGCTTGCAGGTTTTAAAGTATAGCAGCAAAACATATAATAACAAATCTTCTTTAATGTCATTTTTATGTCTCTTTCTTAGGCTGAATGACACTTTCAATAACTTTGGTAGTAGATAAATTTCATCTCTTGGTCAATACTTGTGGCTACTTTATATAATAAAGAAAAGGCCATGTTACACCTCCAAGAAGGCTGTTTCTTAGGATGATAGTGGATAGTGGTAGTCTAAAATCCATGACTGGGTCTGAAGGATTAATGCTACTCTTGGAGCTGTTCTTTTTACCTATCCATGCTTAGGAGGTGGTTATCTATGGGTATTTATGGTGATGAGAAGCATTAGCCCATTCTACCCAGGAACTGATCCCCTCAAAAACGTCTTCAGGGATCAGGTTAATTGTGTACCAGATCAGGAAACAGTACTTAGGATATATTAAAGGTCTGCCTGACTCAAACTATCTTCCCAACACTTAGTAGCAGTGCTTACATGGCCTACATCACCAACCAGCCTGAACTGGCCATTCAGGTACTGAGTTGAATATGCTCCTCATTGAGCAGTGAAGTTGTGAACTCAAACATGAGACATCTACATGCCTTGGCCACATGGTATTAATAGAAAACCTCCACCAAACTCTACTCCTCCTCTTTCATTTTCAATTTCTAAACAAATTATATCTTCCTTGGTACTGGAGTCATTTTCAATGAATTCAAGATTTTGAAATCATATGGACAATATTTTTCCTGCCTGTCCATATTTAGTAATTGTGAATCACTGAGATGTAAAATGAAATTTATAATTCCAGATTTATTTGAATATATCTTTTTCAAACTCCGGGAAACGTGAGGTTTGCATGGGTTGAGGATAGAATTATGGCTTGATTGTCCTTACAACACCTGAATAATAAGAAATGTTTTTTTTTTCCAACTACTGTTAATTTTACTTCCAATCAATTTTGTGAGCTCAAAGAGTCTTTAGAAATATAATGTTTAGCCCCACTTGTAGGACACCAGGCTTCTCATAGAGTATTCCTCATCTCCTCAAAATCACACAGATAGCCAGTGACTATGGGAGCTCTACTGGGGAATAAAAACACAATGATAATACATGAACAAGTAGGAGTTTAAAAGGCACTGTTCATATAGGAGGACATGTTCTGTGTTGAAAAGGGACCCAAATTATTTAAAATGTTAGAACTAAAGCAGGATATAACTTCAATGATTGTGGCTGAAGGAGATGCACCAGTCAGGATAGCGTGCCAGCATGCAATTCTAGTAGTGAGTTTCCTCGAGATCCTTATAATGCTTTGCCGCTGTGATGGAACATTATACATGGATTCCTATAAATGGCACAGTACCAAAATCTGAGATTCACCTGGGATCTTCCACAGTAGCATAATGGAATACCATATCCACAGAAAATTTGATTTAGAACCATGAGGGCCAACATCAGTCACGGGATGAGCTACAGCACAGAGAGATAGTGAGTCATTTCTATCCACTGTGGGACCTAATGTTATCAA